ATACTTTTATATTATAATATTAAAATTACTTTTTAAAATTAATATTATAAAAGTTTAATAATTCAAAATATTTTAACTTATTTTCTGAAAAATTTTTTTTTTTTAGTTGTGTCTCAGCAAATGAGCGATATGTAATTAGTATGTAAGTCAATTTGCATCGATTAGGAAATAATTTATCAAAAGGAAAATTTTATTTTGCCCTTAGGTCGATCTAATATCATTTGTACCGAGGATTTAATCCACGAGATATTTACTGTTGGTCCGAAGTTCAAATACGCCAGTAATTTCCTGTGGCCCTTTAAGGTATGCGTTCTTCAAGGTGTAAAAAAAAAAGAGATATTATATACAATATTTATCGATATACTTTTTTTATATTTACGACATAGGCATAGTTATAGATTAATCTAAAGCTATAAACTCCCTATTATGTCGAAAAATAATACGAGTTTTTCTTGCCGATGGATGATGTCTGTTAATATCGTCATTCTAAGACAAGCTCAAACACTTGCATTTATTTTATATCTTGATCACTTTAGCATATATTTTTTCAGAAACGTTATATCTGTATAACAAGTAATTTCTTTGTTTCTAGCTTAATACTCCAAATGGTGGATGGCGTAAGAAGACCAATCATTATGTAGAAGGTGGTGACTTTGGGAACCGAGAGGATAAAGTCAACGAGCTTCTTAGAAGGATGATATAAATTTATAAAAATCTTCGTAAATAAAAATATATCCTCTAATTAAATTCTTGTGTCTCTTGTTAATTATTATTCACATGCACTTGATTAATATTTTCATACATATATGGTAAAAAATACTGGAAAATACTAAATTTACTGAAAGAGAAAATAGTATTGCCAAATAAAAATAAACATCTAGGCAAATACACTTACAATGTATTTGCCATTGCAAAAGTTACAATAAATATTGAAGGAATAAGATCTATGTACAGGATGTCCCAGAATGACAATATGACCAAATATTTCGTGTGCTATAAGAGCGGACTAAACTGAATTAAAAAAAAAATAGTTAACAGGATATTAATTACTAAAAATCATCAAATATTGATTTTTGATAATTTTTTATTCAAGTACTATCAACTTCTCAAAAAATAGCAAGAGACGAATTGTTTATTTTCTTCTCATAGAGCTTTAAACATTTTTTCAACAATTTTTTAGTACTGCATTTTCTTATTGGTAATTATTTTTATCACAACATGAGAAAATACAGTACTAAAAAATTCTGAAAAAATTCTTAGAACTTTATAAGAAAAAAATAAACGAGAATGGATTAAAATGGATTGAAAATTTTTCTATCCGAATGCGCGTATTTTAAATAGCGAATACTTTTTTTTTATTCAATTGGATGCAATTGGATCGAAAAACTGTATTTCCTATTCAAAATTTTGAATTGAACAGTATTCACAATGCACAGAAAAAGCTAATATTATTTTTAGATTGAAAGGCATAGAGATATGCTCTATGCAATTCCTATAAATGAATAAAAATGCATTCAGGATTGAAAAGCATTCATTTTAACATTCGTGAATCAATATTTCTGAAAATCTGAATTTTAATTCATTTCAATCTCGTTCGCTGGAAACTTTGTCACTTGCTATTTTTCTGTAAAGATGATAGTATTTGAGTAAAAAATTATTGAAAACTAATATTCGGCGATTTTTATAATTAATATTTTGTTAACTATTTTGCGAAAATTGCAAAATAATAGAAGACTTTTCGACTCAGTTTAGTCCATTATATCAGCACACGAAATATTTGGCGATCATTCTGGAACTCCCTTGTGTGTGTATATCTATATATATTTTTTCATATTCAACAAATGTGAACAACGTGGGAAAAATAGATCTGTTCTTTCTAATTGAGCCTGCAGTTGATCTTTCCTCTTTTTCTCTGAAAAGAAAAAGAAATAGATGAATCTCGTGTAAGAAATTCAGTTAAAAAAGAAACCAGTTTCAGAATCCCCATGGGGGCACTTCCAGAGATTCGAACCTAGACGGCTTAGGCCTCTCCCCTCACTAAGCAGTCACTTTACCATTGAGCCATAACTAGACTGGCGGCACGTTGCTCACTGCGAGTTACATAAGTTGATCAGTATCACGCCATTTTCAGCAAGGTGTGTGTTTACTGTTTACGTGTGTGTACGCAGTTTAAAAAGGTAGAACGCGCAACACCTGTACAAAAAACAAAAAGAATTTTTTATTTATCGCATAATATGGTAAGTATAAATTTTAACGTTAATTAAGAAAAAAATCGGAACGAATGACACATATAACCTATTTTTGTTGCCCGTTCACATTGTGAAATGATGAGAAATCGAAAATTTCTCAATTATTGGTAACAATACAACTACGAAAATTATAAAATTTCAATAAGACAATCGCGAACACAGGTAATCAGTTTTTAATAATGAAATGTTCGAGTGTGCTTTTAGAGCTCTAAACAGGAGATTAGATTCTAATCTCAAATGTTCCACGTTCGAATCCCCGGAATTTTCTTTGTTTTTTTCCTCATTTTTTCTCCGTATTTTTTGTCATCGAAATGTCGCGAGACTCGAAATATATGAGACTCGAAAATGTGATTAAAAACATTAAAATTATAATTAAAGTTATAATTATTTGCAGGTAAAATTGAACTTCCTCGTCTTACATGTTATGGTGTAGGAGTCAATTTTTATAATTGCTTCTATCATCTTTTACCCTACGAAAGAGAGAGAGGAGATAGCTCGTATGATATATCCCTTAAAAAAATTAATGTTTTTCTAAAAATAGAGCATACGATGAAGTAACTAAGAGTGATTCAAGTATGTTTCCTCCTTGCTTTGAGAAGTTGAAGAATATTTGTATTAGTGACGCAGCTAATTGTAAGTATACTATATTTTCTAAAGTCATCTTTAAAGCAATATCAATAATGATATCTTCAATTTTTTAATTTAAGCATCTATCTCAAACAAAAACATTGTATTATCGGAAATGGATAGGAAGCATAATGAATATTCTGGCATTAAAAATAACAATAAGTGCGAAAATAGGTCCATTATTCTAGAGAGTTATGCACAGGAAAGGCTTCATACTCCAAGTAACAATTTTATCAGAATAGGAGTTAACAAATCTGATAATCTGGAGCAGAAGATACATATAGGAAGAGAGAATGCAATGGAAAGTGAAACAAATTCAAATAGAAATAAAGTACCTGAATCCTATAAATTAGTTACTCTACAAAATACAGCACGTGAAACTGAATTTGTACCTGAATATCCTACTAAAAGAGAAAATTTAGATTATACATCAAATATACGTTCTCAAAAAAAACTTTTGTTCTCAATTAAGCCGGGAACATCTATGGAAACAAAAAGCACAGATATCTTAGTGGCATCCAGAGACAAAAGTATAAGTTTATTACATCAATCATGTGCAGAGGATAATGCTAATATAAACAAAACCATACCTGATCAAAATGAAAAAGATTTTCAGAGGGACAAAATGAATGATGTTATTGTATCAAATAATTTTACCCAAAGTTTAACTGACGATAACATCTTGTCGATCAAAATACAAAATCAAATTATGAACGAACAGCATATTACTTTATCAGACAAGAGAACTGTAACGAAAAAGCAAGAAATTGAGGAAATCAAGAATGGAGTAACTGTACTACCAGCTAAACCAACAATATCACTGCGCACAAATTTGAAAGCTTCTATCGAAGATAATAATAAAAAGTCAAAATTAATTAAAGTTGAAAATAAATTGACAAATTCAATGCAATCATTTGCAGGAGGAGCGCAATCGACGATAGTAGACGATAGTAACGATTTAAAGTTGACAGAAAAATGTTCAGAGCTTGTACATTCGATTAAGCAAGAAATTCCATCTGAAGAAAATACAAATAGGAAGTTTATATCTAAAGCAGCGGATGAAAATGATGATTTATTTAAATCATCATTTTTATCCGTTGAGAATAATGCAGAACATCGGGATACATCTGTAGCAAGTGAGATAAATGTGGAATATGACGAACAAAGCCAGTCATTTGCAGTACAAAATATCAAGAGAAAAAGAGGTAGACCTAAGAAAGTGAAAGATAGTTCCACAGATCAAATCACGCCGAACAGATCAAGAGATGATATGTTGCGAGAGATTCCCAAAACTAGCACCGAATCCATAACACATGACAGAAGACGCGCTAGTAAAAGATTTGATATCAGTATGAGCGATGAAACTGATACCGCGGAAGAAGAAATTTTCGTCGTCAAGAAACGAGGTCGACCACCTGGTTCAAGAGGCCGGGGTCGAGGACGCGGTCGAGGACGCGGTAGAGGACGCGGTAAAGGAACATTACAAAATTTGATAGATACCGAATACACTCCTAGATTAACAACGACAAACGTTTCTCAATCGACAACGGAGAAGAGTAACAAAATAGATGACACAAGTGCAACAAGTTGTATAATGAATGCCGAAGACGCTATTACAGATTCGAAAGTTACACATATTGAAAAAGCCGTAAGTTGCAGTATACCTTAAAGATTTATGCTATCATAATTAAAATATGAGTAATTTAGTTAAATATCCTTTACTTATAGATACAATTAATAACTTGTGCTAAGTGTAACCAAGAAGTACCGAAGAAACAATGGTCATCACACAATTTACATCACCATAATAATATGGCTTGGCGAAAAGACGATGAACCATTGGTAATAAAATATATTTAATAAAGCATTCTTTGTAGATCTTTGTACTATTCATAAAAATTTATATAAAAAGTAAATTTGTTTATATATACAGGATTTCGAAAATGACGTAAAATTGTTGAAGAGAGTATTAACTGCTGCTCTTAAGCAAAAAAAGAAATTTCTAACTTGTGAAAAATGCGAGGCTACGAGACGGAGTGTTGATGGTTTTATATCACATATGCAATTTTGTGGTAAATCAGAAGAAGTAAGCAGAAAAAGCATTGTATTTATTATATATTACATATATGCAAATATGTGGCACTTTTTTTACTATTTTATTATTATAGGAAAGACAAGCGTTAATGGTGACATGTCCCATTTGCTACGCAAATATGATGCCTTCCTCTGTGGAAGTACATGAACGTTACCACAGACAACTAGAACAGAGTAAAATTGAAGAAGCAGAACTACGACTAGGAAGAACTAAACGGAAAGCAGCAGAGAAGTAAATACAAAATTTTAATTAAAAGTTGCTTTAATTATACACTTATTAATGTATACGTGTGTATGTAGAGAATTGGTGTAAAGAAAATACATAGTTGCTTATTTAAAAAATTTTGCAGTTATATTTTTTAAAAGTAACTATGTATTTTTTTACCCCAATTGATTCATCTCATTATTCTGTTCATAAAAGTATTAAAGTACGATTATAAAAAAATTAGTAATTTACGAGTTAATATTAAATATTTAATATTTTATCTCAACAATATGTGCCAGAATAAAGTATAAAATATCTCGTAAATTATTAATTTTTCTAATACTTTCAGAATAATTACGCAGAATAATTAGAAGAATTATATTACGTAAAAAATTATATAATTCCATTTTTTTTTAATGAAGTTGAAATGACCTTGAAATTTCTGAAGCGCCTCCACCTGGACAAAAATTATTATCGCCATATGATAGATTTCTTCATATCGTGCAAATTTGGTTATACAAACTTTCCTCTAAACTTTTTATAGATTCGAAGATATTTCAAGTGCTAATAGTTATTGGGATATCCTGTATACACAGGGTGTTAAAAAAAGTCAAGATTCCAGATTTACTCGGAAAGATGACGTTTTTGAAAGAAATGTTTCAGACAAAAGTTGTAAGGTATAAAAAGATCTATTTACAGATTTTATCAATTTGATCTTGAATGGCGCCGCCAAGATACGTAAAAATGAATTTTTAGTGCAAAAATGAAAATAAAAGGAATAATCTTTAATAGCCTTGATCTTAACAAATGTTATCCAGGACATGATCCTGAATAACATTTAAGAGGTTTTAGTCGTCGGTCAAACATCTTGCGTAATGCTAATGCCGACGTATATAACTTTCAAACTTTATAACTCGAAAAATACTTAATGAAAAGTAACTTTATTACAGTGTTTTCAAAAGTTAACACCAGCTATTAGATTCTGGCATCAAAAATAGAATGTTCTATTAAAAAAAATTAATTTGACTTTAATCTGACGTTGGCGACGCCACCTAAGATCAAATTGGTATAAGATCTGTAAATAGATCCTTTTATACCTTACAGCTTTTGTCTGAAACGTTTTTTTCAAAAACGTCATCCTCCCGAGTAAATCCGAGGTCCCGATCTTTTTTGAACATCCTGTATATGTATATATTTATATACATATACTTATATACATATATTTTATAATTACAGAGCAATGCCAAGGATATTGGAACTCACCAAATCTTTACAAGAGCAAAATCTAAGCACGGTAAAGAATATTTATATAGAGACACTCGAGACACTATCGTGTCTCCTGAAAAGTTTGGATTCACATTTATATATTAAAATTTTCTTTGTTACATTGTAAATTTGTATAAGTATACAGGGTGTTTCTTAAAGTTTGCCCACGAATCATATAGCGCTATTCCTGATCAAAAACTGATTTGAAAAATCCTCTACCATTTTACAATTTTCGCTATGGTTGATAAAATACTAATTTCTAAAGCAGTGCTGAGATTTAGTTGCACATTTTAGCCGATTTTCAACTTGGTTCCTGCCTCTTATTTTACGAACTCGTATGCAGCCTAAATGCCGATCGGCATTTATTATACGGATTTACAATACACATACAAAGAAAAATTAATTATACTAATCTTATTTAATTATATTAATATATTAATAATATATTAATAATAAACGATTTATTAATGTGAATTATATATGAATACGCAACAAATAAAAGTTTAAAGCTTATAATGATCGAAGCTAGATCTTAGATGGTTAAATAATTTCTATGCGAATTTATACATAACATATGTGTATACACAACATATGTTATGTATAAATTCACATAGAAATCTAAGATCCAGCTTCGACCGTTATAGACTTTAAACTTTTATTTGTTGTGTATTTAAATATATTAACATACAAATGCATGTGTGTGAATGCGTGTATGCGTGTGTGTGCGTGCGCATGTATGTTAATACACTTAATATATTTAGAACGATGTAATACAAATGACGAATAAGAAAAAAATACCAAGCGCTTGGAAAGTTATGTGGAAAAAAGAACTAGAATCAGGTGTCATATCTTGTAAACATATAGGATGTACTTTCACGTGTTCCTCTTACGAAAACATTTGTGAACATTACTATCAATGTGATTTCATTCCACAAGAGGTATTGTATTTCTTAATATTTGTATTTATTATAACATTTGCAAGAATGGTTAAGTATATAAAAAAAACAATATTTCTTTCATTTCTAGAATTATATGTGTAAAATCTGCAAGTTTTCTGCAGATTCTGGAAATAAGATTGTAGATCATATAACAGAAACTCATTCCGTTTGTGACTTGGAGAAATATTCTGATTATGAGACAGAGGAAGATGAGTGTTTATCAGATGAAAGTAGACTTGAATGTAATGTAAAACGAAAGTTCAGTAGTCGTCGTCTATCGAAAATAAAATCCGACAGTACAAGTAAGTCGAATAGATAATAAATAAACTATATTTTAATTTTTAATAAAGAAATTTATGCATTTTAAGCTATTTGAAAAGCATGCAGGGATTGTTGGATCATTTTTTTTACAAAATTTTACTTTGTTGAAAATCATAGTTAAAATAGTTCGAATATCTGAGGAATATAATTTTGAGACACATTTAACAGAAGGTTGATTTATTATTTTGTCGAGCTTTTTTTATTAAAATTGATTATTATTAAAGTTATCTTATATATTTATATATTTATATTTATACTTGCACTAAAGAATAATATATATTTATACAGGGTGGTCCACTTAAATCGACCATTTAAAATATCTCGCTTATTTTTGATGATATAAAAAATTGTTTCAAATGAGTCACCTCCACTTTTTTAAATAGAATTGTATGATTTTTTTACACAATATGATTTCTCTAATTATTTAGCATATAAAAGTATTAAGATAGTGATATAAAAAAAATCAATAGTTTCATTTTATATTTTATTCGGGCATATATAAAATGTTAAATAAATAGTAAAGTATTAATTTTTTTTTAATCGTATCTTAATACTTTCATGAACAGAATAATGAGATCAATTAAATGATGGAAAAAAACACATAATTGCTTTAAAAAAATATATATGCAAAATGGATAATTTTTTAAATAAACAATTATGTGTTATTAAGGTCGACATAATCCTAGAAAGCCGGACGAATTTTTGGTTACCTTCCCAGCCTAACCAGAGTATGTGAAATCCTGCAACTTTGTCACGTTATATCTCTGGACTGAATACATAGTTTTTAGCTTATAATGTGTGAAATTTATGCCTTGAAGTTAGACAAAACCAGATAAATATGAATCAAATAATATGAAATAAATAATATTTTATCTTCAATTAATTACAATGCTTCAAAGAAACTTTGTTGGAAAAATTCTATAGATTTTTTATAAATTGGTGACGTTATGTGATGAAAAAGGCAAACAAATATCAAGGAGCCTTGATACCGCGCGCCTTTTGCACTCTGTGATAACATCGCTTTATTCAATTTGATTTGATTTTACTGTTTTACCGTTAAAATATAAGGACTATTTTTTCACGATTGTCGATCTAAACGTGGTTCTAATCGTGATACCATTAGTTATTATTATGAAATAAATAAAATCAATTGCATATGTTTATCAATGTATTTTGGACTCCAAATTTTACAATATTGATGTTCGATTCACCCAAAGAATATATGACAGAAAAATATTAGACACTAATTTACTATGGAAAAAATACAATTGGTGGATTAATAAGAATTGTTCTAATTAGAAGAGTATCAAAAAATTGCAACATATATAGTCAAGTATTGTACCATCGGTTTATACTGTTGTTCGCGAAATCTTCGGTTAAAAAAAGATCGATTTTATATAGTGACTTCTAAATTGTATTGATAATTTTAAATATTTGTAATATTGTGTGTGTTTAACATTGTAAATTACTTAATAATAGGTTGAAACATTTGTTTATGATTTATATTTAATTTATTATTAACAGTTTTAATTATTAATACATAAAAATTAGCGTTTGACTTCGATTTTACATAATTTTTTAATTTATCGAGTCTTTTCACAATTATTGTTATTTTAAAATAGGACTCTGTATAATATTCCGCTTCATAAACACTTTATAATAGCCTTTACTAGGAAATCTTATTTATTCTGTAATGCAAGTAAGAATCACGACTTTAACAATAATCGATTTTAATAAAAAAGCTTTTAAAAAAAAAGCTCGACGAAATAATAAAATCAACAGTAGCTTTTTCTATGAAAATATATCTCAAAATTATATTTCCAGGATATTCAGACTATTTTAACTGTAATTTTCGGATTCCGTCAGTAAAACCGACATTAAAAAATGATAAATCCAAAAAATGATGATCCGTGTGTGCTTTCCAAGTCGCCTAAAATGCGTAAACTTCTTTGCTTAAATATATTCATAAATATACTAAAAGTGTTTTATACAAATTCATATATGTATAATTACATATAAACAAAATCGCAAAGAAAATATTTATTTAGCATATTCTCATATTGTTTTTTAGCAGAATAATTACATAGACATATATGTAATCAAATATTTATAAGACTGAATCTCTGAAAAAATTTTAGGAATCTACCGAAAAATGGCTTTCTTGGATAAAGAAACAACGCAAAGTCCCCATTCAAATGAAATTTATAAACCAGCTTTACATTGGACTCTGGATTTGTAAATATAATTATGTTTTTTTAACTTTTTTTATTTTAATTTTATCTTTACATAGCTTTTATTACTTTACATTAATGGAACTAATTTTTATTTAAATTATTTTTTATTTACTGAAATAACTTTACTGAAATATATTTTTTATTTATTTATAACAGTGAGCTGAAAAATTATGAATTGGCATTATTCAAAGATGATATGCCGAATTGTTTTACGTTATTGGAAAATAATGATGCCGCAACATATCTCCCAGAATTAACAGTTTCAATGGCCTTCAAGCAAGTAAACGTCAATTTATCGAAAACGAATTCAGACAAGGATAATTGGAATCGTATAAATAGATTTGAAAGTGATATCTATGAAGGTAATTTACGATATTTATTTATACTTACTATGATATACGAAAATATTTAACAAAGAATAGTTAAATTAAATTTTAATATTGTTTTAGCTGTGCCAACATTTTTTGTCGGTGGTCCTATATGGGCGTTAGCATGGTTGCCCATTCCATCATTGATGTGGTTCAAAAATCCGATTCAATACGTCGCAATAAGCACACATCCCACGATGGAAAGTAAATATACTGTGAGAAATAAATATTTGGGCCCGAATATCATACAGATATGGGATGTTGGATCCTTAAATCATCAGTAAATAATTAAAGACATTATTATAATTTATAACGTTATTGGGATTATATTGTATATTGTTTTCAGAGTTAATAGCAAGAATAGATCGCCCGTCTTAGCTTATGCGATTGCGCATAATAGCGGTACAATTTGGTGTTTAGAGTGGTGCCCATCGGGATGCTATCAGGATGTTGATCTTGACAATTATAAAGCAGACGAAAGTAAAATTAGACGAATGGGATTACTTGCAGCTGCATGCTCGGACGGATGTATAAATATTTATTCGCTACCGTTTGCGGACGAACTTAAATTCGAAAAAACGGAAAATAATTCGTGAGTCATATTTTGATTGCACATTATTTCTTCTCTTTCAGTTATTTATAAAATTTTTATGTGATTTGCATCAAGATTGCCGATTTACAAGACTGATCCGGTAATGACACTGGTTGTAAATACTCTTATGTACGATAATAATGAACAAGATTGGCAATGCACTAAACTGTCGTGGACGAAGGAACATGGACATAGGTAATATTCGCAATATAAATTATTTTTCGTAAAGTTTATATACACAGAGCAGTCATTTCATAAATATTTTAAAAGATTTTAAGAAATGATTCCTCACATTAATTAAAGGCGAAAATGTTTCATAGGTCCGAAGGCGGCTTAATTTTGAAAATACAATGTTTGTCCAAATTGAAGGAAAAATTTTATTTTTTTTTTTCACAAATTTCGAAAATCGCTCGGATTATTTTAATGAAATTTATGTATATTTAAACGATTTCACCAAATTAATCCGAGTATTTTTGAAATTTTTGAAAAAAAAGTTGAATTTTTTCGACTTTGACATCCTATCTTTAAAACTAACTGGTTATTCTACAACGTGCTTTTTGTTTTCTGTTTCTTACTTTTTGCTATTTTTTACATCTTGCCTTTTTACTTCTTATCCGGTTTTTTGTTTTATGTCACTCGAGATAAAAATTAACGAACTTCAGAAGAAACCGGAAACACGTAGCAAGAAATATAATTGTCGATAAAACGGTTGCAAAGGGAAGAAGCAAGAGACAAAAAATAGGAAAAGAATACATTGTAGAATAGGCTTAAGTTATTTCGAACATATGAAGTTTTGTCTTGAATTAATTGCCCTTAAACTCTTTTAGAATACTCAAGGATTATTGTATATTGTAAAAATAATATATTTTTTTAGCACTATTGCTGCAGGTTTTTCGAATGGTTACATCGGACTGTGGCGTCTTACGACTACCTCACCTCTGTTGCTCAATGTACGGATGAATACAAAATTTATAAATGTTTATCAACATTTCTTTGCTCATTACAACGCAATTACTAGTAAGTATAAACTCATATCATCTCACATAAGAAGAAAATGTATATGTAAACGTATTGTCTTGTCTTTTTGCACAGTGGTAGCATTAGTTCCGTACGGTAAAAGTCGATTCCTCGCTTCCGCGAGTGTAGACAAATCGTATAAATTTTGGGACTTGGAAGAAACGAGTACACCGCAAAGCTATATAAAAAAAGGCATAGTATCGAACGGTGCATGGATGATGAACTGGCCGTGTGCAATTCTTAGTTTCGACGATGCACTTGGGTAAAATTTATTTTGTCGCAAGCAACGATGATAATTGATAACAATCACGATTCATTTTGATGCGATTATTTTTTCAGATATCATTATACGCATTCCATGATAATACCGTTGAGAGAATACGGATACAAGTATTGTCCAATTTTAGCAACCAACTCGCCAACTTATGTAAGAATATCATATTATCTTTGCTTGTCTTTTTCAAATGTCAATTAATTGTACATTTTCCTAAATAACATTCAACTTTTTAGGGTCTCGCTGTTTCCGATCACGCTAATAGTATTGCACATGGTACTTTAGCTGGAGAAGTAATGACTGTCTTTCCTCATCAACTGTTGTATAATACAGAAAAAATATTGCCTAAGAAAAGACAGGTAGAAAGTTGTACCTTCTTACATCGTCTCATATTCATAAGATTTCTGACAATTACTATATTTTTTTGTTTATCACAGTTGAACTCTTTTATTGAGACGGTGGATTTTTTAAAGGAACAGCAACATAGAGATAACGAAAACGATCAAAATAAAGATAAAAAGAGTTCCAAAGAATATCACTATATGCCAGAAACCTATAACGAATGCAACGATCGTTTTGGAATCGTCTTCCATGATAATTTAATGGTAAGTTGTCACTTATTTTTTTATTTCTTAATGTCTAATTTTAATTAACTTTTTACAGGATTTGGAAAAATATACCGCTAGGAATAAACCGAATAAGGATACTTTGAATAATGACAAACTGATATCTGTCCCTATTGAACAATACCCATTTACTTCTGCAAACAGGGTATACGTCAGCAATAATATTTTTACCTATTTTTCTTCTCAACATAACTAAAATATACGTTTTAAAATATAATTAAAATATGTATTAGCATGTTTTAAAAGTCACGCATTTTGCATAT